ATTTTATCGACTTCAGGATCCGATATACTGCGTCAGAGTGTTTTTTCTCCACTCTTATTTTAAATCAAAAGCTAAAGAATTTAAAGAATTTAGAGAGAAAAGAATTGAATTTCTTATACACAAGCGCGCGATCAATTAATATATCTCTTGTATAAAATTGTATCGACCTTCAATAAATTAATTTTCACTTTCTAATGGAATTTATACATACCATTCGATCCATAGTTTGTGACAGGGGTAGTTAAAAAAAAAAAAAAAAAAAAAAAAAAAATCCAACCATAGGCAATTGAAACGGACGAGGACGGGCTTTGTGCAATATTGTTTTTCGCGCGCGCACGATTACGCGTGCAGGATTCTGCGTTGCTCCAGAAAATATATCGCGCTTTAGAAAAAAATGACGAAGCGGGTTGAATCGAGTACAGCGTCGACGGGAAAGAACAGCAGGGGAGTTAGAGATCTCCCCTTCTCCCGGTGGTTGTATACACGCGAGGTTGCATGCAGAGGGCTTTCTCTCCCTTCGGTGAAGCTGGGCGTCGGCACGTTTGATCCCGCCTATCACTTCCCCTCTGCTGCTAAAGTGGTAGGGCATTCGTGGCACCGATTGGCCGCGGACCGGTTCGTGAGGTCGTACCTGCATTAATTATTCTAAATAAGTCGTCGCCCCTGCGGCGGCTGATTATAGAGTTTGCAGTGCCATAAATAGAACCCGTTTACAAATCGCGCTCTCGAGGAATAATGATCGCCGCGCTGGACCCGCTGCATCTCGTTGCTCGTTTTGCGAGTAAAAGGAGGGAGAGGACTTGCGAGACAGAAAAACCAATCAATCCCTGACGTCCCAGAGCGGCGATCTTGCCGTAGATGTGCGCTCTCTCTCTCGCTTTCTTACTCTTTCCGAGAGACGGAGAAGGAACTTGGTAAACTCGCTCGCGGCTTCGTCGTTCTTCTAACGAGGAGGATTAAAGGCGGCTGGCGCATTTCGGTGATTTGCCTCCTCGTCTCACTGTGTATAACGAGCGACGGGTAATCTTCCAATAGGAACGTTTGTAATAACCTGCTGAACAGCTGATGAAGCGCAACCAGTCAGTCCTGCGAATTGTTATTTGCGATCGAATGACATATGGTGTAATGACTACAGATTTCTTAGCGGTCACGCTACTTTAATGCTTATATACTTGCTTTCGAGACCTATTTACTGAAGAGATATATCGATTAATAAGCTAGAGAATATCAAACATTTATGATGATAATAAGGAAACATGATGATAAAATATATATATAATATGGTTATTAAGGACAAAATAGAATTGATAAGCGCTTAAAGTATTGTTAAACAACATTATGTGTCTATCAATCAAAATCAGGAAAAAGAGTTCAATTATCTATTTATTGTATACAATTATTATCGCGTTGACGTATTTTCCGCGTTGCAATCAAACTTTTAACATAATTAAATTATTTATCAAGTTATCAAGACATAATAACTTTTTTCATTATCCTATACTTATATATTATATATTAATTACTATCGTTATACTGTTTTTTTTTCGTCCAAAAATACACGGCGATAATAGATATCTTATATAATGAAACGATCGTCCAAAAAGAGTTGTTTGGTGCGAATTTGGTCTAGTTTAAATCGACCCGTGTTTTTAGCTCGATGATTCCATATGGAAATTCTCGTGAAGCGTAACTTACCTCGGTCAGACGCCGTATTGATAGATGGACACGTTACAGTTATTTATGGTCGCTATCTCTATTATTGTCCTTACATGAACCGAGCTCGGCTAATGATCGTCTTGCGGCTCACATGGCAGCTGGTATCCGTGTGGAGGTGTGGCCATTAATAAAACCGTCGACCTGTGTAACGGCGATCTTATGCGCTCCTTCGCGGACTTTACAACGTGGAGAACAAAGGAATCGTTCTTTGTCGGGTAGAACAGAGTAACACATAGAAACCGAGCGACGATAGTCGTCGACAAGACGGCGTGCGCGGCAAAAAATACACTTGCCTTCTAAAGTAGTTCGCTTATGTCAGAGGGAATTGTATATATGCTTCCCTGAAAATGGATCTTTTTAATCGCGAAGAGACGAGCGAATGTAATTCGCTGACATCGTCTGCGTTATAGTGAATTAAAGGGACGCTAGCTCGTGAAGAGATATTATAGATGAGCATAAAAAGTGTTCTCATTATATAGTCACGTATGTCAGTCAGTATAGACGATAAATAATGTATATCTTGGCGCAGCTACATGTATCAATCATATATGGATAATAATCACAAAGAGTTGCGTATTTTCTCTTAAGCCGTTTATTCTCAAAATAATTCATATGTTTCGCTTCAGTTTCTTATTCTAGTTTTTAAAATGACACGATACTGATTCGACATAATAAAAATATTCGATTCTGACAAGAAAAGAGGAGTTAAAATATATATTTTTTTATTATTCATATTAAATATTATCAACATGTTTGCTTAATTACGAAATGTAATGATTTTCTTTTGTAATGATAAATGACATCTTACATTTATTTTAATTGATCAGTTGCTCAACTACTGCATTACGTTCCCTGGCGAGTGGTTTGATTATTTCAAAACTATCAAACGATCAATATCAAAAATAATTACATGAGATGAATGATATGTTAACGGTGGAAGAAGATATAAATAGCATTATTAACACGAGTAGAACCAATGGCTGGTAAATTGTGGTATATTATTCGAGGTTTGAAGGCCATCGATATGAATAATAATTGGCGTAAAACAAAAAACAAAAAATGAAACTTCCGTAATTTATGATGTTTTACATAAGCTCAAGCAAGCGATGATCAACTGATTGCTGATAAAAATGTTGAGTTATGTCAAGTGCGAGTTTATGCCATAACATTTATCTGAAAACTGTTCTCAATACTAATTACACGCTCGTACTTTTCGCTGCATGTTATTCTATCAAATAGCGTTAATGAGCTTGTTAAAGCGATACACTTGGCAAAACAGTTAGTTCATTATTTGACAGGTTCATTATTTAAATTTCATAAATAATGTATGATCTGTTAAATCATCGCGCTTGCATCAGATGGTATATTTTAAATAGAGAAACCTGCAGAAAAATATCATATATATATTTTCTCAAAACGAAGCATCTTTTTAATATTTTATGTCTATACTGAAACACGTGTAGTCGAGCATGTATCGTACGAGAATATTTTTCAGATCATTTTGCATTCATTTCAATAACAAAACGCAAGCACTTGTATTTTCTAGAATTTTTTGTCGTAGCAGCAATCGTTCATTAAGATCTTCTGAACACCTACGGTCGAGTTTCATATTGAAATTAAAGTTTCGGATTGATCGCATACATTTTTCTGCTAAACTCCATTTCCATGAGTATTCATCTATAGAATCGCGTTTTCCACAGAGCGTGTTTTCTTAGGCGTGAACGGCTGGTCGAGTGTCTCCGCCAATTACCGCGCGAAACATCTGACTTTTATCGCGTGCGACTTCTGCATCGCGTTACATCGCGGGCTTTAATTGCAACCGTTTTAACGACGACTCCTTATACGTCTCGCGTGCTCCTAATGCGTAGTCTCGTTGCTTTCATGTCAGGACCGAATAACGCTTTCTTCGTCGGAAGAGCATCCCATACGATTAGACGTTAAAGAGTTAATGGTCGAGTAATCTTGTCCCGTTGATTAACTAGCGAGTGCACCGTCATCGCCGTTCCACGTGATGATCGCGCGCCGCAAAGTAAGAAGTCCTCGCAGAAAAAGTCCTTGATTCCGATCTACAGTCTGATTTTCGATAAATTGCGTCTGTCATGTCTGTATAATAAAAGATAACTCGATTCACCGCTGGAACATTAATAGGTTTTTCTTTTTGTGTACATAAATTTGCTTCAAGTAGATCTCATATACACGTCTTATAAAATATTCCGGAAGTACCTTTTGAACTCTTAAACATTCAAATGCGATGCGCGTGCAGAGATTTACGATGCAGAACTGATTACAGAAAATATATTACACGGTAGCTGCGTCGTGTGAAGTCACGTAAGATGCAAACAAAAGACTCAACCGTGCCGTCCCTCGTTTTCTAATCATCTTGGAAGCGTCGGTACGATTAAGCGATCTAGGAATAAGTTACGCTGAGTAAGATATAGAGGTGAAAACTAGATATACGACGTACATAGATAATGCATTGAGCGAGAGAGAGAGACAGGAAGGACGTTGAAAGAGGAGCAGAGAGAAGAACAGCATCTGTCGTATAGGGTGGGTAATACATTTGTTCGTTAACCGTCGCAAAGCCGTCGGGACCAGAAAAAAAAAGAGAAGAATAAAAGAGGGTCATGGCTGATGGTGTTCGTGCAAATTTTTGTATGAAGCGATTCCGTCGCGCGACGATAAAATCCACGTCGCATCGAGATGAAGGGTTAGAACTGGAAGGGGGTAGCACTCTTCGGCTCGAAGAAACGAATTAGTCGGCTTCAGCCTCTGATCGGGTCGACAACACTGCCAAGGTGGGGAGAGGGACAAAAGTATGGAGTAGAGGGTAGAAAATAGAGGGGAGAGTTAGGCGTGGTGTGGTGGGAAAAGGGGCGAGAACATGGGCGAGACCTCAGAGCTGAACACATGGAGGGAGAACTCAAATGGGGCGGAGAGAAGTGGGTATTCTCGTTATTGTTCGTACAGTGGCGCGGATATCCGTATATTTATACAGTACAATATCAAATGGACCGTAAACTGTACTTTTATGTAAAATTAAAAAAAAAAAGATAAAAATATGTAAAATAAAATTTGTAAATAATTTTATTTTAAATATTTTTTCTTTCTTTCTTTTTCATTGACAGATTAGAGATTTTCATATCTTGTTTTATCGATACCCACCTTAGGTTGGTTGAAAATTACATAATTTAATTTTATACATTAAAATTTGAAGCTGTTTTTCAATGTATGAAATATTGCGAATATTAATATAAGAAGTTTAATACAAAAGTGAAAATCTTCAAGATCCTCGAGATAAATTTAAATATCTCATCGATTAATCGCTTGATCGGTGCAAAGTGATGAAGCAAAGAGCGAAAGAGACAAACCTCATCACAGAGAAAGTGTAACATTGATTTTCAGCAAATTCCGTAAATTTAGCCCCCTACTACCTGTACCACTGAACAGTGGGGATGACGACAGGCAGAAGGGAGCGTGGTACACCTTACCAGTAAGGTAGGCGGAGCCTTTGACCGAAGAGTTAATAGAGATACAATCGAGAGTGTCTAGTGCACTGCACTCCGGACTGCGGCGTAGGAGGAGAGAAGGGGACAGGGGTAAGGAGGGACAGGCGGTAAGTAGGGACCGCTGGTCCCCTAGTTTAGACATCACTGAGCGACGGATGGACAGCCAGTCAGACCCGTCACAGCACTCGCCAGAGTACTCGGAAACCCTCGGGAAAAGCCGATAGCAGGAGTCTCCGAACCGGCTTCGAAGGCGAGCCGATAATTAACACGCCACTACCATATGGGATGCGTGAATACTTCTAAGAGCGTACTTCATGCAATGCAATTTTATCGTGCAATACATTAAGATACGTTCGAGGCGATTATAATAAATAAAGTTACTTGAAGAGTTAATTGAGCAGTGGATAACAAGAGATCGTGCGCAATCACGAAATAAGTGATTCGTGATGACCGTAGCAACACGTGACCGATGACGAAAAAATTGGTGAAAGGTGTTTGACGAATAAACTTTTGACATTGCAAAGCAATTCAGAAGTTTTCAGTCATCTACGTGACATCGATAGATTTCAATTTACGCGAGAGCACAGTGGGCAGTGAAACCATGTGTTCTCTTCTATACAATATAGTCACTACGGGCTAGTGTCACTATATTAATCCCCTATCTCAGTTTATCGAGCAAAGACTCTGCGATACAAGAAGAAATGGCTCTTGTGGAGAGTTGTGGCGCGTACAGATTGCAGTTAGCGGTTGCGAACCACCATCATCGCGAGCTGCTGTCATCGGAAAGTCGCGTAACGCCGCGTCAAGATCGTCACCAGCCGGATCTCGAGCAGGACACTGAGGGATCGTTGCGATTCAGCGTCCTCAACATCCTCAAGCCGGATTTCGGACGCGATGCCATTATCAACACGAGTTGCCGAAACAAGTTGCCGAACGAAACCGCGGTGTCCGCCGCTAGTTCCGCGCAACATTCGCGACACAGTCCGCTTCCGCGCGATCTCAGTCGGGCGACCACGACGCAGTCGAGCTCGGGTCCTTGGATAAGTTATCCGCTTCGGGAGAAGGAGTTTCCTTCGCTTCGTGGGTGCACGTCTCTGCAGAAGTGGAACAATGGGCTGAGTAGAAGCGGCAGTCTTGAAAGTCTGGCGTCTAGCAAAAGTTCGACCACCAGAAGTTCCGTTACTAGTCCGCCGTCCTTGTCCTCCACGATCAGCGGCGATTCTTTGACCGTCGAGAACACGGGGGGTAGCAGCACGTCGGCGAGTCAACAAGGCAGTAGTAACAATCAAAGTTTATGGCCGGCATGGGTGTATTGCACCAGATACTCCGACAGACCGTCCTCAGGTAAATTTGACAGATGAATCATTTTTTGCACCGTTGAAATAGATATTTCATTGGAATTTAATTATTATGTAATAATTGCGAAATTGATACATCGAATTCAGATAATCGTATATCGTATGATTTTATTTATTTTCGATTTTTTTTGTAATGTATAAAATATCAATTTTGTGCAGCGGTCTAACAATGTGCGCTAAAAAGCAAACAGGTTAGAAATTTATCGGATTTTTCGTGAGCACAGTACGTGACTGGTACGTTTAACTACATGCAATACATGCAAGAAGAACTTGCGTGGTCGCAATGTCGGAAATGTCTATCAAGATGTTTTGTTCACTTATGCCGTTCTCTATGTAGTCACAAAATCACGATCGACCGCTAATTAAAATCCCCTATCAAAGCGTTTGAAAAATTATGCGGCATGAAGATAAGTGAAATCCTTTCGCGAGCAAAATGTCGTTTTCGTCCGTGCTTATCGTCGCGTTTTGTATCTGAAAGTCACGGATCGAACGAAAAAATCACTCCCGTTTCTTTGCGCGCGATTAAAGGGCTTAACGTAAGCGTCGTCCTTTTTTTACATACGTAATCGCGCGATCCTTTCGCGAACGAATCATACTTTCTCGGCTTAGCGACTCTATTCGTTCCGACCAACAGGAGCAAAACAGGTCCGCGGCGCACGAATGTGTATGACACAGAGAGAACACGACGCTTAATGATAGGAACACACGAAACGAAACGCGACGTACAAATCGCGATTCGTACACGTGATAAACTTATTTCAATGATTAATCGCGCCTTCTTTTTCTCGCGACGGATTCTGCGCCAATAGCGTTCGATAACTCGCGCGAACGAACGGCCTCGAGTGTATCTAATCACCCATTGTCATTAGACAATCGCTCTGTAATAAATAAATCACACGACATACGCGGTTTCGACATATAGGGACTCAATGTCTATCTCGCCGCTCGATATTATTGCTATAACGTATTGACTTTGCGCAGGAGGTCTCGCAAGGATCACTAGCTACGTAAGTTACATCTAATAGTCGCGAGAGTTAGCTAGACGAGGTCAACGGCCCGCTGCCACCTGCGCTCGTTCGCAAGACTTAATTGTGTAGAACCTACATTCGCGAAACTACCCTCTAATCAGTGTTCCACATACGATGCTGCTATTCTTCTGCTTTCTTCGGCCCTCCTTCGGTATCCGTTCTTCTCTCTTTCTTCTTCTTTCCCTTTCTTTCTCTCTCAGATAAACATCCACTGGTCTTCTCTAGATTGCCGCGCATCGGGGTGGTCCGCGAGTTTCGATCCGATAATCGCGCTGCTAATTGCCGAGGATCGCCCACTTGGCTTCCGTGAGCCTCTTCATTGCCGAACGTTAACCCTAGAGTGTAAGTTTATGTAATATTTCGTGCCCTTTGGAAGATATCTCGTTTATGCAAATCTATGAAAGTGAAGTTGTAACAATTTCTTAATTTATATCTTCATTACTTTATAATTTTTGTCAAGTTTATGCAGTTTTTTATTGCGTTGAAATTGTTTTTTTTTTCTTTGGAGTTAAAATTTTAAAACGATGAAAACATTGGTTGTAATATTAACAAAATTTGTACAAAAAATGAGAGTAGTAATTTCTTTCAGCAATAATAAAATAACGAGAATAATTATATTATACTCTTTACATTACTGTCGATAATTACGGCGCATTGTAGATATTTTTTAAACAGCTGCAACATTCGCACTTAACGGTTTCTCTTCAAAGATAATAAGACTATTGACAATAGTTATATAGCTGCGCAAAAGCATGCGGATGTATTTCAACTTCACACATGATTGCGTCATCTAAATAGTTAAATAAAAATAAAAAACGTGTAATGCTCAGAACTCGCCGTTATACCTAAACATATTGATTACGAGGTAGCAATGAAAGGTAATCGGAATATTCATGATCGCGTTTTAAAAAAATATTTCACGCAAAGTTTTATTAAAAATAAAAATAAGAGAAATCATGCATAATTCGATCTGCAGTTTTCGATAATAAAATCCGTCGCATTCATTTACATAATTCGACTGTACAATATTAATTAAAAATAGAAAGTACGGTCAGACGCACGCGTAGATTACAATTCGCAATTAATTCGCAATTCGCACAGATAGAATTTTATAGATGACATTTCTACGCGGTTAGTCCAACTATTTCCGCCTTCGGTTAATTCCAAAGCTATTGCTCAGATATAGTTATCCGCGAATGTGTCCTTCCTACCGTGCGAACGAGCTCGCTCGTTTGTTCGCGCTCTCGTCTTGGCAAAAACGCTGAATCACTTCGATGTGCGCATGTGTGTGTATGTGTATGGACAAATTGATGAGAACGCCCACTTTCCGCCGCGACATAATGTCCCTCTCCCCCATCTTGTCTCGGATTTAAATCACAAAAGTCTGAAGATTAATGCGAAGTTTCTTTGTCGTTTCAGGACCGCGTACAAGACGAGTGAAACGTTCGCCAAACAGTAAGAGCAGTTCGCCGGAAGAGAAGAGACCCAGGACGGCCTTCAGCGCCGAACAACTGTCCAGGTTGAAACGAGAATTTACGGAGAATCGATATCTGACGGAAAGGAGAAGGCAGGAACTCTCGCGGGAATTGAATTTGAATGAAGCGCAGATCAAGATCTGGTTTCAGAATAAACGCGCTAAGCTGAAGAAGGCGAGCGGACAGAAAAATCCCTTGGCCCTTCAGCTAATGGCGCAAGGTCTTTACAATCATTCCACGGTACCCGTGGATGATGACGAAGAAGAGATCGTAAACGCTGAGCGTTGAGACTCGCATAAATTTAAAAGAACCGATGAAGGTGAAAAGTCAAAGATGGAAATTATGTGTTGCTACAGTCACATATATCACCCTTATTGTTAGAAAGCATCGTCAGTCGAATGATATTGACAAAAAAAGTCACTAAAATATTATTTATTAAAAAATTGAGAATAATCATCTTTCATTAAATGAAGACTGAAAATAAAATTGTAAATATAATCGGAAGAAAAGATAAGAAGGAAAAAACTCGAAAAAAATTAGTGGATAAATTTATATAATATATGATATTATATAATTTATGTATGAGAAAAATAATAAAAAATTACTTAATTTTAACATTTTTTCACTTAAATGTAAATATATGCATAATTAATACGCAAAAGAATAGAATTATATTGCTAAAAGAATAGAAAAAATAGGATAAAAAAAATTAAATTGTGCATAAAATATGAAAGAAAATAATAGCACATTTTTTTATTTTAAATAAAACACTTTTGTGTCTAAATTGCAGGTAAGTATTTGCAGAAATTAAAACAATTTTATGATACTTGATCTATTAGCTTTTGAATTTTTTTTTAATCTCTTCTATCAGTAATCATCTATTAATTATTTTAGTAAATTTTATTTCTATTAGTCATTACCGATACTTAGTATCTTTGAATTATTGAAGGCGTTTAGTTGTTGAAGAGTTATTGTTTAATATATATTATATAAATTTTAAATCTAAAGCGTGTATGCTACTTATATATTATAGGCTATATCATATAATATATTTAGGAATAGTATTTATAAGAGAGTCAAATTTAATTAGTGTACATCTTATATCAAATATAAGTATGTCAAAATATAAGTTATTTATTTCATTGTATATAATGTGTAAATAATTTGTAGTCTTGTGTATATATAAAATGCCGAATAGATTAGTTAAGATATAGTTACTACATTATGTAAATTTTTGATCTCAGAGTATATATATTATATTCCTAATTCTCATATACCAACCTAAATATATATATTATATATATATTATATGCGTATATAGACATGGAAAATATAACGTATAACGTATATATTCCAGTGTTTTCCGCAATAAATCATAATATTCAATGTAATCCGCTTACAATTTCCGATTAAATCGCAGTAAAAAAGAAAATCTTTAATATGTATATCTCCTCAATCATTTTATCATCCAGAATTTATCACTACTAACCGATATTAATAAAAGTATCTCGTATAATAAGGATATTGACATAAAATTGGGAAATATACAACACTGTGACAAGTGTAAAAATAACGAAAATAATGAAGATAAGCTAATGAAGATGACAAGCAATCTAAAGAAACGCGTTTTCGTATCGCTTCGCTTATGTGAAAGTAAGAGAAATAAAAATGCAATAATGACGCGTAATAGCTTGATTAGCAATTCAGCAATTATATTACAGAGAAATGCTTAGAATGCCGCCGTTGCGGTATAAGCACTCAACTAAAATTAGCATCGTTAATTAACGCCGTACTGTGGCGTTTCCGACTGTGCTCTCTGCGCGCGCGACAGTGTCGCGTTTTTGGAAGGGCGTTTTATTTCATCGGGAAAACTCTCAAAGTTCTCTCGTTTCTGGTCGCGACGCGCTAATTGATCTCGAACTAACGAGCCGCCCGATATCTCGAGCGCGAACGCAACGCCGAGATGTTCGAGTGGGATGTTCCGGCGGCTGATACATAATCCCTATTGCTGAGATTCATTTTTGCTCTTTTTTCAGAATATCATAAAGTAACATTTCTGTCTACACTAGATTTCAAAAGTTATTAAGGCATGACACAAATTCTCTAAAAAAAAAATCATGTGTTAATGCATATAATTCATCAATAAGATTTATTATCTTATTAGTTAATTAATTATCTAATTAATTGACATGTCGCGCGCGTATTTTTTTCTTTTCTAGGAAAAGTATATGCTTTCTATCGATTTAATTCGCTTTAGAATCTCGCAAACTTTGACTTACATGTCTCTAAACAGGATGTGATCGAGGATGAGATACGCGCTAGTAGTTCGAATGTAATCATACGCGGACCATGATGTGGCGATCGACGCGAGATAAGTGATATGGGTGCACACCTGTTAGGCAATATGGCGTATATATAGTATGTTTGATACTAGGGCGATTGGATATTTACGAGTGCGTTTTTTTCCCCAGCATCGCGCACAGCAAGGCTATCTCGGAGCAAGAAACGATTGTAGACGTCAAATATGCGGAAAGATATCGCGCACACGTGCGTTACTTAATTCCGATATATTAAAAATTAAGCGCAAATGTCGCACGATCGTAAAGTGTCGACGATAATCATAATATTTTACACGTCGATCATTTATTTGTTTTTTTTCTTAATGATCCATACGTCAATTAATTACAGCGAACGAGACGAGCTCGTAGGACTTGTAAGCTCCTGTCATTTGGGTTCCTTCGATGCAAGCTTTACATGTATACTTGTTTTTGTGTTAAGGAATCGCGTCTGTGTGTAATCTAATATTATTAATCACCATAAATTTGAATAGCAATGAAGCGGAGATACTATTAGGGGCAGTCTCTATCATTAGAGATTCATGCGTGCATTCACGCGGTGAAGTAATTTACGGGGTATGTCCTGATCAAATGTAATTACAAAAATATTCGTAGATACACATTTTTGATAATTATATCAGCATACATATAAATTTAGTTTTAGCAAGTGTAAATTACGCATTCGAATCGTTAAGTAATAATTCTCTTTGCGCGTTATCGAACATTTGTATCACTCTTTAAATAGCGCAATGCCTATAAATTTTCCGAAACTGGGTATTTTTGTATAATTCGCCCGGCTCGATATTTTACGACCAGCCAGCGATGTGCCACCGACATTATTACTTATCATTAATTTAAACACTGGTGGCAAACACCATGGGATGCGGGAGCGCGGAAGGGACGCCGACGACCTCCACCGTCGTTGAAAACAAACGCACGGTGGCCCAAACTAGGGATAAATTACAGAGTCGTTGTCCTGGCCATTGTATTTAACTGCGGCGATGCGTAATTGCTGGAACGCTGTTGTATACGCGGGATAGAGAGAAGGAGGGTTGATACCGAGGGAGAAGGGCTGATATGTATAGGAAGTGAGAAAGAGAAGAGAGAGAGAGAGAGAACGAGTTAGAAGGGACACACGGTTAGGCGAGGTACCATACCCGGTTCAGAGGAGACCTGGAGGGTGGCAGAGGTGGTTCTCTCGCCGCGCTGTGGTCGAGAACCATAGTCAACGGAATGGCCATTAGAGGTTTGCACGTTCCCGCCAGTGGCTCACTAAATTTCGCCTTCTTATGCCCCTTACGCGGACCGCCACCTTGCGATCCACGTGAATTAATGGCTGCGGTGCGGCCACGCGCTCACAGTTTATTACAATATCAGCACGGCTGCGGCAGAGCCGAGTTTCGCGTGAATTTCGCGTTGCGCGACGAACTAGTTCTCGGTACCGACCGAAACGTTAATTGCACGCTCAGAAATATACGTGAAACTCATGCAAGATCGTTAGCCCTTGACTGCTACTGCGGCGTTCAATTTTTCATTTCGATCAAGATATTGAAAAAAAATATTAAAATGTTATACATATATTTATATGTAATATATTAATATTAAATATACTTAAACATATATATAATTATATTTTCTAAATTAAGACTCAAGAAGGTTCTGTATATTATCAATTTCCAATGCGCTGAAAATATTTGAAGATGAGAAACGCAAATTTGACGAAAGTCACACGTGCTGGTCGATTCTTGACGATCGATATTAAATCGTTCGGAACGAAGCGGCAATATACGATTTTATATTTATTTATGCAAATTAAATTAATACCAACATATTATGCCAAGTTCTCAAACACGTAAAGCGAGTCGAATAAAAAGCTAAAATATTTTATGAAGTTCAGAGAGACTCTTCTGTTTCTTCAAATCATGTTTACGGAGATATGCGAATTTTTGTTTATATCAGTTCTGACAATAAATATAATTTTCTTTAAATAGGAGAGGAGGATGCACATGTGTCTATATACAATAATTACCCCACGTTAGACAGAAGATGTTGATCCTCGCTATGCACGACTGAGAACTGTCGTTATATATTCGTCTTAGAGCTTCTCGGTATCTCGAAAAAAGATGGGCGCTTATAGGAGATTGGTCGCGCTTTTCTCCGCCGCGTTTTCGTTCCTCTCCGTTTGTCACTAACGAGTGTAACGAGGTTCCGGCCCGTCAAATTAAAGGCGGATGGCGCGTACGGCGAACCGAAATTTATTGTTACGCTTTCGGGAACCAAAGTCGGGTAAAGGCCACTTAGCTGCCCGTAAATGCGTCGTCCCTACGACGACGCGCGAGGCCAGATGGTTCACCAATAGATCACTTCGCGAGAGAAAGAGCCGCGAACCGCTCTTCCTTTGCGGCTTGTAAAAGATCGCTCATGAGATGAGAACGTGCAGGAATCACTCGTCGCGCGCGATAAAATACGCGATCGCGAGAGGTAAATCGCGAATTAATTTACGATTTAATTGCGATTAAGAAATCGCGTCGGAGATAAATATTTTATAATTTAAATAAATCTTGACAATAAAAATTTACAAATTTATTTTTGACATCTGAAATATCAAAAACAAGTCACGACTCTCTTCTTAATTTGTATATAATTTTATTACAAAATAAAGTGTCCTCTTAATAAAAAAATAGATTTGAAATTTAGTTAAAAATATTTAAAAAATATTAAAATATATTTAAACATATATTTATATTTCCTAAATTAAGAATCAAGAAAGTTTTATATATTATTAATTTTTAATGTGCAAAAAATATTTGAAGATAAGAAACACAAATTTGACGAAAGCTAATAAGCGTGCTGGTCGACTCTTAACGATCGATATTAAATCGTTCGGAACGAAGTGACAATAGACGTCCGCGTCAAGCGTAACGACACTCGGACTAATCAAGGAAAATGCCGAAAATAGAAAAATCGCGAAATACATGATAAATTCCGACTAATAAGTTCCCTTTTCTTGAGTGCATCCTCGTATCGCAGTCGCGGATGCGCCGAAAGATGCGTGCTCCGGTCCGTAACCGCGTAATTGGCCGCGACATTAGATCCTCGTTATCCTAACGAGCTGAAATAGCGGGCGCGACTACAGAGAGGAAAGGTCCGACGAAAATCCGTGTAACCCGTGTGGAG